CTTGCTTCCGAGCACTGGGATCTTAGGCAGAGACTACAGTAGTAGAGAATCTTTGGTTACACTACACTTACTAGACTCTAGGAAATTATTGTATTTTGGTTTGTCGTGGGCGTCGTGGACTACATAGTGTGACCAAAATCTGTCAGACCACTATTATCAATTGAAACTGAAACTGTGTTCTCAATGGGTATCTAACAATTTTTTAGGCTGCCTAAATTTCTTTTCAACTTTTTGGGTGGGGTTTTTTTTCTTAAGGCTACATTGATTCCTTGAGGATTTGTTAATGAAGAATTCAATGCACTTGTCCATTTCTATGCTGGCCATTTTCATCAATTTTATGTTTTCTTAAGAGCAACTTTGTATCTACTTTTTCCAATGTGGATACTTTTTCTGTAGAACTTTCCGACCTCTTGGACTGACTTACATTTGATCACATTGTCTTGCTCAAACAAGTTCTATTCATAATATCACTTACCCGCAAGTTCCACCTGTTCGTTTAGGTTGGGTTTTTGTTTTCAATTTCACGGACTATTTCCACCTTCGTTTAGTGCATACATTGTTCAAATGCTTTATATACTGTTTACATTTTTAGTAATAAATAGCCTAATTTGTCAAATATACTGGATATGTTATTTAATATGATGCTTTGCATAAGCGCTGAAGTGTTTTAGCATATTAGTAGAAAGTACTCAAAATGTACTCAAAAGTACTTTTTTTAAAAAGTACTTGTACTCAAGTACATTTCACAGGAAAGTACTTTTACTGTACTTAATTAAGTACATTTTTTAGATTGTACTTAAATTTGTACTTACTTTTGAAAAGTACTTTAACAGCTCTGGTGCCACGCACAACTGAAGTGCGCTGCGAAAAAAGCCGTACCCTCCTCTTCATTTCATCGGTGATTACACTGACACGACTAGACGTGAGGAGTCTTGAGGATCCAAAAAGATAGGCGTGAGTGCAGCACTTTTTCTTCGCGTGCGGACAGGCTCACCCTGCTATCGGAGTGTTCCGCGACGCCGTGGAGATAAATCAATAAAATTAATGCTAAAGAACGGCTGTGTACTGTGTAGGCCTACGCCTGTTTACATTTTTTTTTGCGCAGTTGGACGGAGTAGCGCGGACCTATGAGATCATCAATCACCACATCCGACCAAGTGTTTCGCGGCCCATTTGAAACTTCAGTTGTGTGTGGCAGTATTATTATTTTCAGCCTTACTCTGCTCACCTCTTTAGCCTCAACAGCCAAAAGTCTTTCTTTTTTTTTTGATAGTAGAGGGTTTAAGGCGCTCGCAACTGCATAAGGTCATATGAGCGCTAGGCGAGGCTTTCTCGACTATCAAGGCACCCCGAAAATAGCAGGTCACAAGAAAGTGACAAACATACAAAAGAAGTAGAGAAAAATAACTATAGTAAGGATCGGGAAAGAAAAAGCAGCAGTTCCCTTTAGTAGATCAGGCACAGTTTTGAGCGTGACATGAGTCAGCCCATTTACAATTCTACTATGCTTGAACGAGAAATGTCCCTCCTTTAGGAATGGCCTAAAGACACTACAACTACAGTCAGTGGCACTGCCCCGGGGGGTAGCCCAAAGTCTGCTCCCCCTATCATTATCAAGGCACCCCGGAAATAGCAGTTCTAAAGAGAGTGAAAAACATACAAAAGAAGTAGAGGAAAATGACGATAGTAAGGATGAGGAAAGAAAAAGCAGCAGTTCCCGCTGTTGTTCCGGCACAGTGTGAGCATGACATTGGTAAATCAGCCCATTTACAAGTTTACTGTGCATAAGAACATTCTGCTTGTACATAATGTATTTAATGTATTAACCCCCCCCC